CTTGCTGAGCCGCCATCTATGGAGATTCACTCCTCCACCTTCCGGTCACTATACCCACCGGAAACGACCACCAATAGCATCACCTCATTGCCTTCTACAAATTCCAACCAACAATCAGCCAAAAAAATTATATTTAGCGGAAATTTTAGCCCAAAAAACCAATCTGCGTAAATTGTTTCTTTCGAAAATTCCATCTTTGCGCACTACCACTGGTCAATTGCTCATCCTCAGATGACTCCATACATGGAATCAATTTACTCCAAACAACACTTCAACATCCTGAATTAAATTCAAGAAACTCCAATCGCGTAGCCTTCGACATAGCATCCGAATTTTTCAATTTCTGGCGCCATTCGATCAACCCATGGTTGTGGACCACGTGGGTTGGTCACTTCTCCCCCTGGTGCATCTTCCCAAACCATGGGTGAAGTCCAATTTCAACCAGACCTTAACGAATTCATAGGTAAAATGTAATGTGGGTCGTGATTGATAAAAATTGATTGAAAAGGAACTGTTTGTTTTAAAAACCTTTTTTGCTTTATTTTTTGTGTTGATTTGATTTCTCTTTTACTTTTTCTTGATTGAATTGAACTTGAATTTGCTCTATTTAGATCCGTGAATTGTGATACTGTTCTTAAGCATGAAAAGGACTTAGCTTTATAGGAAACTCAATTAACTGTAGATGGGTTTTGTCTTTTTTTAAGTGGAGGTATTTTTCCTTTTCAGTTTGAGCATTTGAAAGGTATCCATTTAGGTTCTTGAACAAACGAACTATTTGAATTCGTGCTCTGTTTTATGGGTTGATCGAGATTTTTTTTTTGCTATTGCTACTGAATTTGACACTTGCATTTTGAATAGTAAGGCTTTAGTTTTTCCCCCCTCCTTCCACCCAAATCTCCTAAATCTTTTAGCATGTTCTGTACTTATGCATAACCTTATTTGTATTGTTCAGAATGGGTGAATATGATTTATATTTCAATTCAATATTTGGTTTGAGTTGTTGGCTATCGTGGTAGTGTTTAATTACATATATCTTAGGAATTGTGAGCTGTGGCTTTTAGGTTCTTGATGTATTCATCTGTTTTCTTGGCTGATTCCACCTCTGTTTTTGTGGCTTTCTGAAATGTGGATACGTTGTTTACTCGATGGCGAGGGCTTTAAATTTCTAATCTTGAACAGTGATTACTGCCCGTGGTACTTATTATGATTCAGCAACATAGACTACGAGTTTCGATTATACTATTGATATTTGGTTCTTTTTCAGGTTTAATATCTGATTTTTGC